AAAATTAAATATCGTTACTCTGAGTTTCACGTATTGAAATGAATTGAATTTGTATTGAATTGTATGTATTGAATGTATTGAATTGTATTGTATTGAATGTATTGAATGTATTGAATTCCTACCTGGCGGTAGGCGTTGTAATTTGTGCATAGAAGAGAAATTAGAAATCATGAAATCACATAAAACCAATCTATTGAACAAAAGATCCGAGTTCTTCGCGAAATGTCGCCATCGAGAAAACAAACAAACAAGTTAACGCGTCAGCGAACGGTTGATGATGATGCAATCACGTAATCAATAACAAAATCGTGAACAAAATCGCCTGATGATCGTCTAGAAAGGACGTGAAACCCAGAGTAGCGATATTTAATTTTAAGATATAGACAATCTAATAAGCTCTGCTATACTTCTAGTATTGAGCACTTTATATATCTAGACAACCAAAATAAATTGAATTATATATATATATATATATATATATATATATATATATATATATATATATATATATATATATATATATATATATATATATATATATATATATATATATATATATATATATATAATGTGTTTTCAGTCTATAGACCGATTTACATGCACTACACAGTAAAACTGTTGCATACAATGCAACCTGTTTAGAACTTAATTAAATTGTACTGTGTAAATCAAGCGCACAGCTCGTCTATACGTTGTCGCAGGTGAGATGTGTGCTTCATTTACACAGTACAACTCAAGTTGTAAGCAGGTTGCACGCCACAGTTTAAGCAAAAGCTGTGTAGTGGAAATCGGCTTACGGAGATATTAGACTCAAATGCCCAAAACATACATAGCAGATGAATATATATAATTATTTGAATTGTAATAAAATGTTCCACTAATATATACATCCCAACTATCCGAAACAATTAGAAACTTTTCCTACCTCGATATCTTTCTTAAACTGTGAGAATATTCTTGCAGCTGTCAAACGAACTGAAGTTGTGGCGATATTTAAAACAAGATTCAAAAGTTGAAGTTCACACCCATATATATATATATGCATGCAAGGTGGATACCAGCTGGTAAATTAAATTTAAAATTGTTTTAAATTCGAATATTGTTGGCGCCTCGCACAATCTCATGCCATTTTAAGAATTCGTCCTTGCTGGCAGTTGATGGGGGTGGGGGGGGGGGGGATAGGATCTAAAAAAGGGACCATACTATATTGAGTGTGGGGAGATGACAGAAGGTTGTTGGAGACAAAATTTTTTGTGTGGGGTCGTATGTATATGTATAGTATTTTTTCCACCCCTAAAGCTGCATTTCGCGCGTTTTCTGAAAGTAGACTTTATAGACCGAATCTTCAGTTAAGTACATGGTATATGTTTATATAAATACCACAACTCGGTCGGTAATGTGTTTAGCCTAGCCTTCCAACAACTCAAATCTATAGGGTCTGCATGGAATATGCCATCCACTCGGAAATGTTTAAATTCTAAGGTATTTACAACACAATGTTTAACATTTTTAAAAAGACATTGAATCATTTGAAGATAAAGGACATGGCATAAGATTCAGAAAGTAATTTCTGTTACTAGAATATCAAGCCTCCTTCTAAATTCCATTTTTCGTCCAATGTTTTGCTTATATTTTAGCAATCTCGTACCCAGAGTATGCCCATTCGCAGGTTAGGTGCTGGGCAGCACCTAACCTGCGAACGGGCATACTCTGGGTATTGATATTTTAGAGAAAATGGACTTTTACGGGGGCGGGGCAAAACGGTTGAGTGGAAAGAGGGGAGGTCACCATGGGAAAAAGGAAAAATAAACCCTGCCCCCCCCCCCCAGTTGTATAGTTAGAAAATGCCTTGTTAAGTGCATGGTAAATTAATTTTTAATGGAAAGCTCCAATATTATCCCAAGAACACACTTATGTACTAAGGAACCAAATTTTAAACATCGCGTATGCAAAGGCAACTCCAATTAAGGTTTTACAGTGTGTCTCAAAAAAAGTGAACCCTTTCAAATTCAAATTAGCTATAACGTATTGTAGTAATTTGACAGCTCTAATTGTTTTGAATTAATGGTTGAGTAAGAACACAATGTCTTTTTCTCATGGGACAAAACTCAAAGAAATAAGAATTAGAAAATTTAAAGGAAATACTGTATTCCTTTTAAATGTTCTAATTTTTATTTCTTTGACTTTGAGTTTTGTCCCATGAGTAAAAGACCTTGTGTTCTTACCCAACCATTAATTCAAAGCAATTAGAGCTGTCAAAGTATTACAATACGTTATAGCTAATTTGAATTTGAAAGGGTTCAGTTTTTTTATACACACTGTATTTTCGGAAATTCGCGGGACATAGCCAATTTGTTCATTTAGATAATTTACGAGTTCTAGAAAGACAATTAGGCATTAAAAATGTTGAGTAAACATTAAGATCTTTGAGATTTTGCTTGAGATACAGCATGAATTAGGGAAAGAAAATGCATGGCAAAACTATTTGATCTAAATTAAGTCCTTGTACATTTTGTATGTAGATGAGTATTTGCTTCTAGTTCAACATGTATTTCTGATGCATGGGTACAATATACATGCTGAGGTGTTCTGAATATTAATGACTATAATTAGGAAAACTGCTAAACTATTTCATACCTCCTAAATTAAACGCGTCTTTGCGACTAAGACCAATACAATTTTTTCGAAACACAGTGCCAAAAAATTAATTACAGTGCAAAGAAAAGAAATACAGTGCAAATTTCTTAATTTTCTTAATTTTATTTTCCAAATTTCTTAATTTTTTAAATTTCTAAATGTGACTTACGGACGCGAGTGCATAATTTTTTCATGTACATTATTAATAAGTAACAGCATGGTTTCTCGTGCAATTTGAAAAACATACACTCGTGAGTTTTTCAAGGACTTCAATTTTGATAGTCTTTGAAAAACTCACTCGTGCATGTTTTTCCAAATTGCACTCGAAAGCGCATACTATTACCTATACTAGAAGTTACTATCGCAAGAAGTGCTGCCTTACGACCAAAGCCCTGGGGATGGACTTAAATTGCCTTATACACACACTGTATGTTTGAATTTATTTTGTTTAAAAATATCGAAATTACAACAAGCAACAATTACTATATACTGTCAAATATTGTCAAATGTACTTCGGATTTTCATACGTGCATGTGATTGTAATGGTACCAATAGCAATATCAAACATATGTCTTTTAACCTGATATGACTAGTTTGTTGCAAGTTTTCATATACTTTCCAAGTAATGATAGTCTACTGTATTTTCCATTTGGTAAACAAGTGTTACCATAGGGTTTTTTTCTCCAACATGTAGATATTTCGTATTAATTTAGCATGTACAGGTAGAGTCCATTGTTGGTCATCATTATTGTCCAATAACTTGTTATGTTACTGTACATATAAAGATATGTAATATCTTGACATACACTGTTCCTGACATCCATATGGTAGATTGGAAACAAGTACATGCAGTAATTTAATAATACATGGCAGATATGTAATAAATCCAATCAATCGTTTTATTAGAAATACACCACAACTAAGAAAGTTGTGCATCCATTCCATAAAACAAAACAAAATGTTGTTCAGATAAGGATGAACATTGCTCATCGTGTGAGAAAGTTCAATGTTTTTTACCAAGAAAGTTCAATGTTTGTCAAGCTTGATCACTAATTGACAGGTTTTATATAATTAATCTGAACAGCCAATCACATTCAACCAGCTCCAAGCTAAGTGGCAGCTGAACAATTGAAACCATCAAATGTCATCCCAAAACAAGTAGTCATGCAGTAGATACATACAGAGCTGTAACTGGTCGTCGTAACCACTGTGCAAACTTACGTTTTCATGTAACCACTTTTTTCAGGCGAACGGAAAAAAAGATTAACTGCGCGTGCTCGGCAAGTTCTGCAAGCAGTTACAGCGGGCCGCAATCCAATATGGGATGCATGCATCTAGTAACTTGTCGAGCATGCATGTGCACAAAAAAGCGGATTACACTAGTTATAACAGAGATTATAACTATGTAATATGCATCTACTCTGTGTCACAAACACTGAACTTTGTCTGTAAAAAACATTGAACTTTGTAGGTATAAAAAACATTGAATTTTGTCATGAGAATAGACAATGTTTTATCTGTGACTGTTCATTGACAGTTGCAAGCGACGGTACAACTGTAAGGCTGTCATTCCACTCAAGTGCTCAAGGTGCAAATGGTTTTCATATTAGACCTTTGTGTGTTCAAATAAAATAGAAATACTAGGAATCTCGCTGGGAATGATTAATTTATGTTAGTATTTTGCAGATTGCATGAAAACGAACAGCCAGTTTAACAATGAGACAATGACTACAATATGATTGTATAAATATCCTTTCTGGACTTGGCCCTGGGGTATATAGAACAAAAGTTATTCCGAAATCAATAAGGAGTGCATATAAAATAAAACACAATATATAAAAAACGAGGTATAAATTGTTTACATCATATCATTATTCAGATCAGTATTTTAAAGTATACTGTAGAAAAGTTTATATGAAAGCTGCAGACCGCTGTGATGTATAAAATATCACTGGCAGAAGCAAATAGAATAGAAAAGTAATTAGTCATACTAACCTGATCGATTTTGTCCCAAAATCCGTATTTTAGTTTCAGAAAATTGCAAAAATATATCCAAAATGCTTCGAACGCATGTCGTCATTTCATGTGTCAACAATCAACATTTTAATTCCCCTCACTTCACAAACCTCTCTTGCGCAATGTCCCCGGTAATACGACATCTTACCGGACAAGAGCCCAAATCGAGATCGACTATACATAACTCTGCGAAAAAGACTGGGGCGAGTAAAAACAAGAAGCATGTAAAGAATAGGGAGCTGCCTGCGGCAGCAATAAATTACACAATTTTCTGAATAAATTATAAATAAGTCATGCCTTTCGCCGAACATAATTTCACCCCCTTGAGACGTATCTTCTTCATAATAGTCTTGTTCGAATCAATATCCAAAACACTATTTTAATACAATGTTCTTTTCAAGCTTGTATCTTCAAAGCTGCATTTTTTATCACGGTATTTCCATTTCTGGCTCGACTGTGAGCTAATCCCAACCGGATATACAATTTTAGAACGTCAAAACAATATGGCGTTCCGTTGCGGACAAAAATACGAATAAATATATTTCGATTGCATAGCCGAAATTTCACTATTCGAAGTCGAAAATTCACAATTCGAAGTCGAAAATTCACAATCCGAAGTTGCATTCACCGAAGTCGGATTTATATAAATCGAAGTCCATTTTAAAATAGTCGAAGTCGAGAGGAAATGCAAAAATTATATTCGAGAGGAAACGGAAATGACAATATAAAACCCGAACATGGAACTCTGATACCTACAGGAATGAAGTTCCGTATAGGTATAAAATTACTTAGCGCGCATATTTTTAAAAAGTTTAAAATATTGTACTGCCAATATTCCTTGTAAGTCAAAATACTTATCTTGCCTGATTTAAATGCAAAACAGGATAAAACAGAATTAATAAAATAAAAGAAATTCTTGTTGATTCATCTTTTAAATCTCAAGAAAAATGAAATGTCAATGTATAAAGTGATGATGTGTAAATGTTATATATTACTATTGGACAATGGCGGACGAACGATGTGGTCGAGAAAATATGAATATTCAAAGCATTGTTTCTGCCATCATTAACAATTTACATTCATTGCCATACTCTGTCAATTCAAATGGATTTTGAAAATGCGGATGTTGAGCTGAGGAATGGATTTACTATTCCAAGAAAGTCTGAGCAACCCACTCGAGCTACTTCGTCAAATAGCGTGGTTATATGGCGAGCACGAACATCAAGCTCGTTAGTGACTTTTCTTGGCTCCAAAATTATGATGTTGCCAGGCCCAAACAAAGATAAGGAAGGGAACAATCACGATCGACGTCCAATGGTCTGTTGGAAAGGAAAGGGGGCAATCGATTTTGCTTCAGCCTTTGACTTTGGACCTATAGGTATGGTTGTATACACAGGATAGGGCAGCAAACAAAGGTCTTTAATGGGGAAATGAAACATTAACGAATGACTTACAAATTCCACATAATAAAGCTGCTAACAGGGACGTGCTTGGGTCTTACAGTAATAGTATAGAGACTTTATTTAAACAGGATTTACATACACCTTTTCAGTGAAAAAATACAGTGTTATCATTAAGGGTCCTGTCGAGCTCGGAAAAGGACGACGAATGTGCAAGGTCTGATGGAGCCCAGTGAAGGATGGATCAAGATGGGGGTGGGGGTATTACTGATCGAACATTAGACATATCATGCAGTCGCTATAATTAATCTTTTTAAGTTTTGAATTAATGTACCGTAACTTGTTAAATTTTGCGGTAATTTTTTGGTAAACTTAGATTTTTAAAATCTAAATTGTAATATCTTAATTTTGATTTTTCAAAATTAAAATCTATATTTTTATGTCTTTTCCAATGTTTTAATTTTAGGGGCCATGATGGCAGGGGCCCACAACAAGGTCTCGTCCGCTTGTCCTTACAATCGCGTGCAAAAATTCTTGACACAAGCAGTTTATTGGCCCTCTCCCTACTGTAACAATGCTTCTTGCCCCCCCCCCCTTGTGCAATGTTTTTAAAACGATTTTGAGGTCAGGGCTTATCAAATAATATGTTTTCAACATTGTTAATGGGGGGAGGGGAGCACGCACGTGAAAAAGATCACCAAAATGTGAAGAGTCTCATTATTTTTGCACGCGATTGTCTATGTAGTTTCCAGTAATGATACTTTTAATACGGTTATTTCGCTTTGCAGTAAATAAGAAGCATAACAGCCTTTGCTTGCTGTGACTATGGGTTTCATGTGTGTCTATGGATTTTACCTACAGTGTGTAAAATTGTGACGTCACAATGACGTCATCGTGACGTCATAAATGACCTTAAATAGTTCATAAATTGAACGCGTCCCGCTTGAGTATCAAAACAGTTAGGACAAGATGCCATTGACAAGCAGATCACGTCAGAAAAGTTTGAACAATTTTCCGAATGAGTTAAAAGCACGACGATGAATTTGTCAAAAAGTTTTATGAACTGAATTATTATATCGATGAACAAGCGTGTTGCAATGATCAGTGAGAAACGAGGAGAACGATTAAAGTATTAAATTTATTAAGTGTTTCTATATTACAATGTTTTTCCCTAATTATACCGTTTATATTGGCAGTGCCTTTTGACTTCAATAACTGTTTTAGATGCTTAATAGTGACGAATGTATTATGTACATACTTCTACCATGCATATTCAATAAAAGTACTATGCGAAAACTCAACGACTTATTGCTTGCGTGAAAATTATTTTGAAGACCTTATACATGCATACAAACTAAATAGAACTCAATTTCAACACGTTACGCACACGTTACGCCGCATGGTCTACTTTCAAGACCCCGTTGAAAATAACAGTAATCCATTTAGTCTAGGACCTGTATATGAGTTTGTATGCGATTCATTTAGGACAGGTAATCTCAACTGTTTTAGGGTAAAATGACCATGGCGGTCAACATGGCATATGTGCGAAAACCTGAATCCGGGACGAAAGTCCTGAAAATGACCCCGCCCTGAAACGGCAGTGTCGACATAGCTCTAACTTCCAAAAAGGAAAATCGATAGCCTTTCTGAAGTGCTTATAGTGTTTAGAAGGGTTGCTTTTAGGGGTGGTCATTGGAAGGAAAAATTTGTCGAAGTATAATATTTTACCAGAAAATGACTATGCACCACCCCAGGTAAATTGCTGATTATGCACAAAATAACTAATATGCCTGGCAGAAATGAAATATTCTTATTTCCTAAAAAAAATTATCATGGGGTGAAAAACTATGCTTAATTTAATATAAATATTGTTGATTTCATAAGGATTGTCATTGTTTTCTTTAAATATAATACATTTTATTTCACTTACCCCCCACGAAAACACGATTTCAGCCATATTTTGCCGTCTTGTTTGCTTTTTATCGCCGAATCTCGCAAATATCATCCAGTTATTGTACTTTTACATAATCATAAATGGCTGAAGAAGATTTCAAAGAAGGTTTCATCCACTTTTGTAACAGTGCAGTGTATTTTACCTTCGATATTGTGTCCTTCGATATTCCGCCAAATTGCCGCCATTTTAATGGCTCGCCGCTTCTCTGTCTGATAAATGCAACTTCTTCGTTTCCATATGTATTTAGATTACAGTATCCAAGAGTACTTCATTGTAGAATAGTCCCAATCCAAAAATTGGCAATATTTGTCCCATTAGGAAGGAAAAATCCTCCCGTATACCATTTAGGTTCAAAATAAAAAACAAATCATTTGAAAGTCACGCGCAATCTTCAGGAAAACTTCTCGTGGACACATGACAGGGGGGGTTGAATATTTTCACGAATATGTTCGCCACCACAGAAACATAACTAAATATATTGTATTTATTGTATTTTTATGATTTATGACAAAACGACGCAAATATTTATTGTTTTTATTATAAATCATAAAAATACAATAAATACAATATATTTAGTTATGTTACTTTTTCAAAAACTTTTTTTTTTAAACTTGATCTTATTCTATCGGAGTAGGCTGATTTCTTTGTTTTAAGCTTTTTGGCCGCGTTTCTTATTTCTGATATTGATATTTGTAGCTCTAAACTTGAAAAACTCTCCACCCCTGCGCGACCAGCCTCCCTTTTGGTGCCATTACATTTATATTGTGTAATACTTGTGGTTTTATGATTAACTCTATTGATAAATTCAAAATGTGCCGCGAATTTATCATAATGATAAATTCGGACCTGTTTAAGAGCGGTTGTCTGTAATAGTCAGGTAAGCCGTGTAAAATGAAAAAAATCAAAATCTTTCAAACTTTGTCAGAATGTAGGCCTATATAAAGTATTAATGTTGTGAAAGTTTTATTTCGGTCGGAAAAATATTAAAGGAGAGAAACGTCGAAATTGGTTTTCCCAGACCACTTTCGGTGTTTAGAGGTCATTTTACGGCACTACCAAAATCGCTCTATTTTGCACGATAATGGAAATATTTCACAAAATATGATTTCGTTTTATAAATTAGAGTTATTTATTGAGCAGCAGACGAAATTTAGAGACATTTATGTCAAAAGTGAATATTTTACAGGTTTCTTAATGTTTTTTTTTTTATTTTTGAACGTCTTTATCCCCGAGCCGACGGCGCGAAGCGCCGTGCGAGGGTACTAATCCCCCCCGGCTATTCACACCCGGGGAAACGAAAGCATTAGCGAAGTCTAAAGTTCATCAATCATCGCGGGCGTGGCTCACCAACGATGTTTCGGTGGGTGGTCATCACTGATCTCAAAAATATGACGGACTGTCATGAATAGCGGACACTGATTGGTCCAATTTAAAGTTTGCTTTATACGACTGCATGACGACAGCGAAAGAGCAAACATTTATTGATTTGACAATTGATATCAAATTTCTTGCAAATATATTTCATTTTTGCTCGCATTTCTGCAAGATTTTGTAAAATATCAAGAAAGAAAGGGCGAAAGAATCGGCTAAAAGAAATGAGCCGACGTTAAACGAAGGTAAGTTTGTTTTAAATATTGATTTTATAATTGCAGCTCTAAAACCCGACGGCCTTTGCGTATATGAAACACTAAACAAGACAGCATATTTAATTCCAGTGTATCTTTTATAATATTGATTCCCTTTTTTATTATATTGAATTTTTCTAACTATTAAAAAGAAAGCAAAGTTATTTGCATGCGAGAATTTGAAATAATTTTATTGAAAACTCAAAGTTTATCGATAAAGCCGGCATTTTATAATCAAAGACAAAGGCAATTTATAAAGAACACTTTAAAACGTTTTGCGAAGCGTTTGTGGTTGAACTTCAACCACATATATATGTTGAATTTCAACCACAAATATATATGTTGGGAAATTGATAATTTTGTAATTAAAAGAGATATTTTTAGGCGTTTCATTTGTAAGAATATTCTTAAAAAATTATCGTGTTACCATGACAACTACTCTAGATACTTCATGTTCGGAAAATACAATGGTTTTGTCAGCAAGGCGAGGGTTTCTGCACACATGTATTTTCTAGTTATATGCCATATTAAGCAACGAATATCTCCATTGTTACATCGATTCAGGCAAAAAATTCATAACCAGGTCAAAGAAATATGTTTTCGCTTGCTATTGATCAAATAAAATTTTGGGGTAACTTAGAATTGAGTTTTTGACCAATTTTTTCGTAACCCCTATTTGACTGGAATAACCGTATGTTAATATAATCAGCGTCGAGTCATGTAGTTCAATAAATAACCAAAGAGCTCGTCAAAAGCGTTTATTTCTTCGAGTAAACAAGCCTAGGCCTATAAAACTACCTTAGCTAAAGCTGTACGATTGGCTGAAAGCATTTAGTTCTAAATCACACTGCTTACAGAATTACGGTCGCTTATTGTTCAGGTAATGCCCGATAACCGGTGCCGCTGATTCGGCAGGTTTGGTTTCTATTATATTTTATCACTATCAGGGATATGCCGCGATAAGTATAGCGAGTATATTTTCTCTCCCCCTCCATAAACTCGTGTTCTCACATAAATAGTGCACACGCTTTTTGTAAAAAACATAGGCCATTTGCAAGGTCATACGATGAAACGTCGCATTGTTTGACGTTGTTTAGTCGTATTTCCGGTTGGATAGTTCTATAAATAACCAAAGAGCTCGTCAAAAGCGCCACAAGCCTATGCCTATAAAACTACCTTAGCTAAAGCTGTACGATTGGCAGAAAGCATTTAGGTCTAAATCACACTGTTTACAGTTGCTTATTGTTCAGATAATGCCTATAATATATTGTATAGCCGGCGCCGCTGATTTGGCGGATTTGGTTTTATTAACTATATTTTATCAGGGATATGCCGCGATAAGTATAGCAAGTATATTTTCTCTCCCCTTTCCATAAACATGTGTTCTTTCACGACTCGT